TTATATTTGTATGGATGAATATTTTGTCGATAGATCGTGTGATATCTGGAAGATTTTTCTCAATCTTCTGACTGAGATTGACTATACAGCCGCTAAGAAACGCAAAGGTACTAAAAGAGATACTTAAGCCACAAATCAGGACAACTACGAAAGGCTATTTGTGAATTTATGTATAGCTTTGACATTAATGTTTGCTGAAGCCTATCACTGAAGTATGCAATATGTCTCACCCTATAACGCTACTGGAAATCTAAATGAATAACGTGTTACGGTTTTAGAAATGACTTAAAACATTATGAAAAAGACTACTTATGATTTTTAGTTTCTTTCTTTCTTTCTTTCCTCCTTCCTTCCTTCCTTGTCCGTTATTATTTTTTGCAACAGAAGCTGCTCCCCTTAAAGAGGATTCAGATGAAATTATGAAGAGTCGAGTGGTTTGCCAAGTGGAAGCAGCGGTATGTTGGATGAAAAAAGGCGCAAACGTTTCTTTTTATTTTATTTAATTTAATTCTTTCTTTCGTTTTTTTTTTCTAAATGTGCTTCCTATCAGATTCTCAGGTATTATCTATCGCACAGCGTTCAACTCTCTTTCTTGCGGGCACCTCAATGACCGACGGTAATTTGGCCCCTCAAAGAAAAAATGGTTATCGTTTTAAAATGTGCTACAGATCGTACACTGCTATAACAAATGTTTATATATTTTTGTTATTTAGAATTTTTACTGCTATCCTAATTGGGTAAACTATTATATCGAGAGAAGAAGAAGGCGCACACTACAAAGAAAGTGATTCGAAATTAAAAAGAGCTGTTCAAGCTTCTTCCCTTCCAAATTAATTTCATTGTTAAGGTTCCATGTCTTTACCATTTATTGCAGAATGTGACCCACAACTCAGGGACACTTATTGCCTCAATGGTGGGACATGTTTCAGGTTTCCAGGCCCGGAGAAGACCCCGTACACAGGTCCCCATTGCGTTTGCCCGATGGGTTTTGAAGGGAAAAATTTTTAACCAATTGTAACTGAATTTAGGTAATTTGCTCGATTGCAGAACAGTACGCGAAAATTAAAGCCGCTGGTTGTTCAGAGCTGTTTTCCTCTAAATTGCATTTATATTTCCGTGCGGTAGAATAGACGTTGAATGCGCACGTCTAATTTAATTGTGCAACTCAAGTTGGTGACGATTACAGAAAAAGATAGAGAAAAAGCGACTTAGGTTTGTGCCTGGTTTCATCTTTACTTTATATGACAAGATGAGGGATAGTTTCCCATTTGCTGATTCTCAACACTTCCATATATGTGAAAAAGCTTTGGTTGACGCGCATGATTTTAGACTCAGAGAACAGACTTCGACTAAGAGAATTTTTCAAGGAAACCTAACAGAAAACAATGGCCAGAAAAAGGGAGCTGT